ACCAGGCCAGGAAAGTTGCACATCTACACCACTGCTTTAGCAAGGGCATTGATCTTATCCTCCGTAAGGATCACCTCCACTTCATGCAGGATGAGGACTGGGTAGATATAGGCAAGCTTGGAAATGGAGGCTGTGGTGCAGACTGGGCCGGTGCTAGTCACCAGGTGCAGTGAGAGCTTCAATCCAACATGGCCTTAGCTCAGAAAGACCGAATGCCTTGGCAGCAGCTGAGCAAAGGAAAGGGGGCAATTTCTTCAATAGATTTATTTTTTATAAGTTGAAATATGTGTGGGGCTTACAGACGATGTAACAGTTATGTTGCTATACTTCCACATGGCCAAATGCGGTTCGAGTCCCTGATCTGATGGCTTCAGAGTCATGTGAGGGGTGTGTATGTGTGTGCCTGATAACCTGGGAGGAGACTGGAGGAGAAGGGATTGCAGTGTGGCCATCCTCCCGGGCGGGGGTGATTTCTCACTTTCCCTCTCACTGTCTCTCTCTCTTGCCAAAGGGCACATGTGCCTTAAGGCAAAAACCTCTTTAAAAAAAAGTTGAAATATGTTACTTGCTTGTTAGAAAATCAGTCATAGGAAAAGTAAGGTGTTTTGATGATGGCTTCTACTTTATTTCTGTATTTTTATTTGGGCAGTATAGAGAAAATCCTCATTCATACTTGATTTGCATATGATAGCAGTTAAAATTGTTATTGTAATACAAACATATATTTAAAAACTTCAGACACGAGCCAGCTCATGGCTCGGTGGTTAAGTGAGGTAGAACCCGCATGACTGACCATGCGGTTTGGACCTGGAGGCTTGGCACACGTGCACATGTGCTTGCATGCCCAAAACCCAGCTAGGAAGAGTGAAGGAAAAGGGCCTGTGGCTTGACCATTCCCCATGGGAAGCGCCTTCTCCCTCTCTCTCTCTCCCTCTCTCTCTCTCTCCCCGGCAAGCATTTGCACCCTTTGGCAAAGTTTAAAAAAAAATCCATAATTACAGGAGTGTGTTCCCACTTCCCTCTGAGATAACCACCGATTGATTGCCTTTAACAGCATGCCTGACTTCAGGTTTGGAAGGAAGAAGAGGAAATCATAGCTGACTCACCAACGAACACTTGCATTCTATAACATAGATTAATCAAAGAACTAAGCTTATTAGTAATTGATAACAGAGCATATAGTGCCATTAATCCACTTATTCCAACTGATTTATACTGTGATGAGAGTACTTTGAACATAAGTGCCTCAGTCTTCCCCATTGTACAAGTGCACTGTGAGTAAGCTTACATGAGCCTGGCATCTCTTCACTGCAGAAATAGGTTTTTATAATCAGCGACAAATTATTTAAGAAGCTAAAATGGGTGTATACAAAGATGCAGAAGAATCTGAATAATTCCTAAGCCTGGCTGAAATTGGCATCATTGTAGCTACAAAACTGCCAGTTGGCAATTCCCAGTATGTCATAAAACATATTTAAGGTGTATTCTTCTATTACTATTTAAAAGTATTGTTAATCATATATGAATATTTTTAAACTGAAATGTAATTCAAATAAGAAATGTTTCTACCAGGCTCTGGAATTTTGTACAATAGATGCTACTGGCTAGGATTCTAAAGAATTGGTGGTTGTGTATGTCCTAGGATCATTAAATTTATAAATCCTGTGTATCCTAATTCTTTTTTTTTTTTTTTTTGAGAGGTTTTTGCTATAGGGTGCGTGCTCTCGCCAGACAGACAGAAAGAGACATAGAGACAGAAAGCGAGAAATCACCCCCCGGGGGTGGCCACGCCACAATCCCTTCTCCTCCATTCTCCTCTCGGGATCTTGGGCACGCATGCACACGCGCCCGGCGTGAGTTCTAAGCCACCGGGTCCGGGATGCGAACTGCGGCCGACTACGTGGGAGTCCAGCGACATAGCCATTACACTAACTGCTGGTTCCCTGTATCATAATTCTTCAAGTCCTAAATATTTTGTATTATGGGATGTAACTGTAAGAAATAGAATGATTGCGAGACCAGCAGATGGCATGGTGGTTAAGGCACTGGGCACTCCCACATGGCTGACCATGGTTCAAGTCCTGGACTTGGTGGCTTGCTTTCTTTTTTTTTTTTTGGAGAGGATTTTTGCTACTCGACAGAGAGACAGAGATATAGAAAGCGAGAAATCACCCCCCCGGGGGAGGGTCACATGGCAATCCC